CCCTGAAAACAGGGATAAAAGGACATTTTCTAAAAATAAAACCTAGCTAGATCGATTTTTCGCCCCCGAATCTACGCACATACTAAATTTCATGAAAATCGCTGGAGCCGATTCCGAGATTCCGATTATATATATACAAGAATTGCTCGTTTAAAGGATAAGATAAGTTTCCGTTTCCGTTCCGTTTAAACATTAAACCTAAGAAACTGATCTGAACCAAGTTTAAATCAATATATTCATTGGCCCTGCATCAGTTGGCAACACACATCACGGATGAAAACGTCGTGCTATCGTATTTTATGAACCAATAACCGATGGAACGTATAACCTATACCGGTGCAAACCGATAACCGATACGGAAGAAAGATTATTGAGTGGCGACGACTTGGCCTAGGACGACCCCCTATGCGCCGGAGTTCGCCGAAGATTGCGTTTTCGTGTTCCCGTGTAAAGTGGCAAAGCGACAGTGCAGATGCCACGTGAGTTTTTAGTGGGCACCCCATAACTCCCACATACCTTTGCTGCCTACATGAAAAAAAGTGAGCGGGAAGCCGATGGATGCAGATGGCTCAGGATCGTGCTTCGTGGCAGTCTGTAGGGGAGGCATATCAACGGTTGATTCAAACAGTTTGAAATGATGCAGGGTACGAGATATTTCCATTTTTTTCATAACGCAATGTTGTATTTGCCCCGTTAGGCCCCGCTTGAGTTATATTTTTAAACGATATAACACCGTCCTAACAGGGTTGACAGCTCTACAGGATATTAAGCGAGACGCGGCCCTCAATAAAGGCCCGGTCGAAGAGACGAGAAAATCCGATTACAGTTGCTCGGGTTTTTTTTACAGCACCGTTATAAAAAGTATTACGGATGATTTTGTTTTTATAATAGAGATGTAAAACCGTCGCTTCACCTAAAGTAATTATATAAGGCTATGCAATAGTATGCACCACTAACAGGCCTAGCATGGAGGCTAGGCGTTCGTTTTTTATTAAAAATTGATTGATTGTAAGTTATTAGCTTATAAAGACCTTGGTAGTAAAAGACGGTTGGTTTACGGTGGTAGGGCCGTGCAACAGTGTTCGCTGTTGCACGAATGGGCAGGTCCGTCCAGGTTAGTACCACGACCTCACAGAAGATCGGCGTAAAGTAGAAGTGTTGCACTTCTGCGTTTCGTCTGGTGAGTGAGGTAGCCGGGGCCCACATTATTAAGAGGTGGCAACGAATCTGCAACCCTACGGGTGTTGTAAATGTCCATGGGCGGGCGGTTATCAATTAACATCAGGTGAACCGCTCGTTTGCCACTTTATAACATATAAAAAAAAGAAAAAATAATCTGTAGTATTTGCAACCAGTATCAAATTACACAGATCATTTTATATGTAATTTGGTACACATACCCTGTAGACAGACAGACTTTCATGGTCAATTTAGCCTATACATGTCCCGCTGCTGGGCAAAGGCCTCCTCTATACAGAGGGTATCAGGGCATAGTCCACCACGCGGCCCCACTGGGGATTGGCGGACTTCACATATCTTCGAAAATATTTTTTTTTTCTTATTATTTCGCAAATATGCAGGTTTCCTCACGATGTTTTCCTTCACCGCGGAGTACGTCATAAGTCAGCACTTAAAGTTAAAAACTTCACCGGGGATAGAACTCAGGTTGCTCGAGTATATTGAATTAAAGGCGAGCGCCCGGACACTGAGCTATCACGGCTCTATTTACATAGACTTTAATTAATTATAATAATTTTATATATTTACTATTACAGGTTTATATCTTCTTTAGTCTTTAAAAACTTACTTTATGCACGCATATAAATGTACTGTACATAACATACTGTATTAAAATTACTGTACAAACATACTACAGTACATTTTAAACGGACCTGTTCCGACTTCGCACGGATATACAAATTTAGTTACGTTAAGCTTTCCGGTCCCTGGCAATAGTGTCCTTAGCAACTCATTTAGCGATAAAAGTGCTCAATTATTTTATGTAAAACAATTTTATCATTTATAGTAACTTCACAGTAGGGCACAGGGACAGGTAAAATGTCATCTTTTGATGCTTTCAAAATGGCTTCGCTTTTTCTATTAACTTGAAATATTCGATTGAGTGAAACATAATCCACTAGCTGTTAACCGCGCCCGCGCGGCCAAAGGTAATTAACAATGAGTTTTTTATTATACACTAGAATATCTCGCAGATGACTGAATTTTTTCCTACTTAATTGACATTTATCATTAATAGTTAATTTTTAATTTTGGACAATTCACACAATATCTTCATTGCCCTAAATATATAAATTAAAAATAAATATAAAAAAATATAAAAATAAATAAATTATAGCCTTATTCTAGCTATATTATTGTAATTGTTTCAATAAAATCCATTCAGTAGTATTTGCGTTAAAGAGTAACAAACATCCATACATACTAACTTTCGCCTTTATAATATTAGAAAGTATTAGTATATTAGTATTAATATATTAGTATAGTATATTAGTAAGAATGTTACTTATGTTAAGTTAATCACTATAATGTTTTCCTATTGACTGATTGCTGGGTAGAATTTTCTTTTATTATAGTTTTTATCATGTACTATTTTAGAAATAAATTATAATTTACATTGGAATTTATATCATTACATTCCTTTTTAATTTCCTTTGGCTTCGATTATGAATTAGTATTAGTATTTAAACTTTGATTAAAGATTCTGTCTGATGCTGCATGTTCTTTATTCTTGTGTCTCTATTCTTTACGATAAAAGTTAAGAAATTACTTTCGTAATGTAGTTCCGTCTACCTACCCTATTCATAAAATTTCTTAGCGTTTACTCGCTATTTGAACTTTCGTCTACTACCTACTTTTGTTTACGTTCCGTCTACTAAACAGCACGTGTTTTCACCTTTGTTTTTCCCGGTTGAAGATATTTGTCAGCAATTTACTTTTATCTCAACAGAATCTAAGGATATCAAGTTTAGTCGTAACCAAGAACTTTCCATTCGTTTATTTCTAACATAATTCGTGCCGTAGATAATAAGAAAGTTCACTAGCGAAAAATTGTTCAAAGTACAAATTGGAAATAACATGATTAAAATTATTTTGCCCGACCTGTGTTCATATCATCACAATACAGACAAATGGCTGATTGCAGACGACGTGAGACTTTTGATATTCGATATATTTCTACTATGAGTATTAAGCTTCTTTATAAATAGGATGATGATGAAATATCGTAAAGCGAAACATTTTAAAACTGCATATGCTGACAACACTAAAGTAAGTTTCATTCTATGTGGTCTAACCGATTCTTTAGTCTAAAAGTAAAACTACGCTGAATTTATAAAAATATTTATATTTCTACCATCTGAGCTCGATAAAACAAAGAAATCCTATGACATAATCGGTTGTTTTTAAGGTCCGTAGATGATGTTACATTTTAGTCACACGAATCGAATTCAAAATGCTCGTGTGTCCTACATGTTATTCACCTCTGTTTTCCACTCTACTATATCACAATTCTACAATTTATATATACGGCCAGCCATGGTACACTGTCACCACGATCGCCACGATACACATTTTAACTGTTGGTTATCAATTCTTCAAGCTAATTATGGGCTTGTCGGAGGTTATGGGTTCGATTCCCACACGGGACAACTATTTGTGTGACCCACAGCAGATATTTGTTTCGCATCTGGGTGTTTGTCCACGTGAAATTTATGTTTGTAAAACGTCGTTACAACACAGGATACTGTTAACCTAAAGTAAGGACAATGGGTAAAAAAAATTTGTCATATGACACACGCAACTTAAGGGGTTACAGTCCGCTAAAGCAATAACTTAGCCTGAAAGCAATTCCAGAAGTGCTGGATGCCCATACGATCCAATTAAATGTGTCCACGCTGATATTTACTGCGGTTCAGGCTATGCGGTTAAGTGGGAAAAAAAGATCCGGAGGCCAGATAGTTTGATCGTATCCTTGATTAAAAATTGTTATTAGAATTAACCGTAGCTTTTATTAATTCTTGAAGTGATATTTCGTGCACGGCATATTCACTCATGCAAACATTAAATATACCAAATCTCACGATTTTGCATAGTTAATGTTTGTATTGAAAAGTGCAGAGAGCTCACTATATGTAACATATCTGTATATATAACTATGTAATAAAGCGTTCATTGCTTACCTTGACATTGAATAACAACACAATAGTCTGTTGTCGAACGTTTTACCAGAACAAACGTTGGCAAAGAATTTTAAAATGTCAGATTGACTGGATGAACATCACGGCAAAATTTCGACGAATGAGCGCTAACTGATGCCCTAAAATTTGGTTATATGGGCTTGACCTTTACGTATGTATGTATGTATGTAACTATGTATGTATGTATGTATGTAGGTACGTATGTATGTATGTATGTATGTATAAACAATGTCCATACATAATTTATAATGAATCTCGAATGAGAGCTAAATAGTCATTATATTCAATTATTACCAACTCCCGGCATTAAATTATTCATTTTTATATATATATATATCAATTTTATGTCATAATTAATCAAGTTTTGTCGAGCTGGTAAGCTCTGTAGACTGTGAACTTTAAGCAAATATTTCTCATTGAAAATATACTCTGCCCCGTCAGCGTTGCCAGCTCTGTTTTCCACGCACCTTTTTGATAACGTTTAAGTAGGGCGTAACCCGGACTGTACTTGCATTCCTGAAGAATGCACGGCACTTAGTTGATTTCCCCTTTGCAAATTTGGAACGCTCTAGAAACGGATGAGTATGCCATGAGCTACGGTATTATTAAGAGTCGACGAAGTGTGCACGTCTGTCTAAACGAACGGTTACGCGGTAACCGAGTTTCGCTTCCTTTGCTGGCGAAACAAACCAAATTTAGCGGCATATTAAACAATGATCTTTACTGTTTCTGTCGACTGGTTTACTGTGGTAGGGTCACGCAGTAACCTCGGCTGTAGCACAAATGGGTAGGCTCGTGCGGGTAAGTACCACGACCTGACAGAAGATCATAAACAGCATTAATTTTATACATTCAAACCTTACAACTTTACGTATCGGGGTGAAATATTAAAGTGAATTAAAAAATATGGCAGTAAATTTTCCGATTAAACTGAAATTTAGCTAACATTCCAAAAAACGAGACTGTGTTAGTGAGACTGTGTGGATGAGCAATAGGCGACGGCTTAACAGAAGCCCAGCGTGAATTGGAATTACTTCCAATTAAGCCTTTTCTATTATGTGTGACCTTTCTGTAGAGAGGTAAACGATAGGGCTATGAACAAGGTAGGATGGAGGGTGACAGCTGAATTACAGGGATGCTGCACCGATAAGAACCTAGCTCTTAAATAAAAGAAGAAGAAGATTATGAGTGACTGGAGCCCACTTCTTTAGAGTTTGGTAACGCATCTGTGGTTAACCTGATGCCAAGTGATTTTCTAATCCCTTAATATCAGATTAACCGCCTGCTGTTTGCCGTCCTCACGTGACAAAAGTAAAAATTGTTAAAAATATGTGGCACATAGTTTACAACACATTTAGTTTTCAACTTATTTTGCGATTTGGTCGAATAACAACTGAAGAATTTTAGCTGTTTTCGACACTGATAGAGTTAGAATCTACTATTTATGCAACATATAACCATAACTAAATAAAAGTGGTGAAAAATTGTGTCTTGTGTCCTAAAACATCGAACTTTTTATAAACTTTCAAGTCCAAAAGAGTTTTGACCAATCTAATCGTACCTAGTTCAATTATTTTTTTTACATGATCTTCATTAATAAAATGCTTATACTATATTTGTGCACATATAACTATTATACACATAATTACGAATGCACATAACTATACAATTTAACACGGTGTTAAAAATCATATGAGGGTATTTTAAATTAATAAATAGGTATATAGCTGTAAAAAAAAATTCTCTCATTCAGAACTTCCTCGCAAACAATACTAGAGAAACTAAATAAAATAATATCCCTCACTGTCGCACAGCTCTGAGCGTCGTTTATAACGAGCTTTTGTATGACAACATGAAGAAAGGTCTGGGTAATTTGAAATGCAGACAAACAAACGAAGACAGTGGGGGGAAATCGGCGAACTGTTATATATTATTATTGTATACCTTAAGGCAGATGCTTTCCACCGCTTTATAAAGGACCTGTGTCAGCATATTTGTAGTAGCTAAGCGCATCAGATGGAAGCTAGTTCGAGTTCAGTCGTAATTCAGTCTCAATCCAGTCTCCATCCCGTCAACACCTATTTCCAGTTTTATTTTTCTAAGTTGTACGTTAGTAATTAAACCAGTATAATAAAGTTCTTTTTTTTTTTAAGGCATTTGCAATATCCCTTATAATAAAACGTTATAGTATAATTTTCACTCGACACCGCTATTGCACAAGACTGAATATCTACTACAGTCTCCCAGTCACATAGCAAAATCTATTTCTCCCATAACAGTAAAGTATTTACATGAGTTTTACTAATAAAGGCGAAAGTTTGTATGTATGGATGGATGCCTGTTACTCTTTCACGCAAATACTACAGAATCGCTTATACATCAGAATAACACATAAGCTGTAATTTACATATATATATATATATATATATATATATATATATATATGTAAATATATATATATGTAAATTTTGTTTCTATTATATTCCTCTAATTATCAATCTTATTAATCTTTATTAATATTGTTCTGTATGTATTTTGTTTGAAATACATATATATATATATATATATATATATATATATACTGTGAACTTGCTACGAGCCCCGCGCTTGATTAATCCGGCACTGAAGTAAATTACTCGACCACAGACTAGAAACCTAATCGCTGACAACAATAGCTTTGCGCGACTAAATACTATAATAAACGTACATAGCCAATTTCGTAATTGTAAGTCCAACGACGCCGGCGTCGCTTAGATTCGTCCATGTTCAATTTGGCTTCAAAACTTCAAAGCTTCAAGCAAACGTGTGGCGGCGTTTTCGCGAGAACTAGAGCACATTTTGTTGTTGAACTTTTGGCACCGTGCATATTAAATTGGTTCTGCTACTTTCCACGTTAATGAGGCTATAAACAAATACGGACATTTGTTTTAGTTTCACGTTCACGTTAGTAGTAATTTAGAATATTCTAGCAAGACAAAATCTACCTATAAATTAACCGGATAACCCTTGTAGCTATGCTGCGACGTATTAGAATTCTGTACGATAGTATTTCGCCCGATTATCGAGGTATAAAAGATATGAAATATAATAATATTGGTATCGTCAAAAGATTTCCATTTATTCATGCCTTTATCGACAGACAAATGCAGGTAAAGTCAGACGGTTTTTAAGCGTCCCAGTCTATTCTATTTTTCATTTACTTGGTACTGAGGCGGGAGTCTCCAAAGATGCCCTGTTTCTGAGAGTAGACTGGGTGCCCCTAGTGCGTTTGAAATGCTCTGAGATCTCTAGTGGAACGAAGAAGCAGGAGAGGAAGAAGCTCTCAGCATCCGGCTTCGGCTGTGGCAACACGGGACAACCCCACACTTAATCACCCGTGAACCAAAAATCCCCTTTTCCTTTACAAGCCCGCCAAACGTGTATATGCCCACAGCTCCAGAGCTAAGCGATTCCTACTCTATGTATTGCGATGATCGTCATCATCATTTCAGCCTATTAGAGTTTACTGCTGAGCACAGGCCTCCACAGACTACCCGAATCACAATCCTGAGCGACCTGCATCCATCGACTTCCCGCACATTTGCACAAGTCATCTGCATTGCTCTCCATCTAGTGGGGGTGCGTCCCACTCTGTGATGGCCAGTACGAGGCTGCCTCGAGAACCTTTCTTCCCCAACGGTTATCAGATCGAGAAGTTATATGGCCAGACCATCGCCACTCCACCTTACTGACCTTCTGAGCTATGTCGGTTTATCTTTGTACCTTTGATGCGGTCGCGATAATATAGAAATGATTCATGATCCTAATTTTCGTTAGTTTTTTTTTTTTATTAATTTCACGTATCAAAACGATTTAATTCCCTCACTGTAAGAGCTCCAAAACAAATGTCATTTAAATAACTTCCAATTTTGCGCGTGGCGCCTTCTGTTAAAACACATGTGTTTAACTTAACATTAACTTTCTCTACAATTCTGCACTCGGAAAATAATTTTGAAGCATTTAAGACTGACTTCTACGAAACGTAGAGTAAGTACAAAATATTGCTACAAAAACATTGCAATAACGTTTTGTGTATTGATTGCTCGTTTGGGAATGATATATTATTCACATAAAAGACGGTTCGTTAATAAGGTATATGTATTAATGTATTAATATTAGCAGCCTAACTTCATCATTAATTATGAATAATTGAGTTTACATGTACTTTTACTATAACAATGGGTTTTTGGTGAATTGAGTGATTCTGGAGTACAACAGCATATGTGATTGAATGTCCGCCAGAAATCATAGGTTCGAATGGAATCCTAGAAGCACGCACAAATTAGTTATTCTGATCTCGTAATTTTTTTAAAAATTGCCCTTACTATTGGATAGCATTATTCTGTGTTGCAATTAATATAATATTATGTAATATCACGTGATATTGCATAAAATTATATTAATTACAACACACGTGATATTATATGATATATACACGTGGACAAACACCCAAATGCGAAACAATTATCTGTGAGTCACACAAATAGTTGTCCCGTGTGGAATCGGACCCACGGCCCCCGAGGCCGGAGCCAATAACAAGCTTGGCAACTGCGCCATGGAGTCATCAACACTCTCAATAAATGGAAATTTTATTTTGTTTTTTGGGAATCTATGACGTTGAGCTTTCTTAAGAGTCATTTTAGTAAACTTGCAAAGGACATCTATAATACTTGAGGTGGTACTTACCTGGACGAGGCAAACCATTCGTACAACAAGGGCTAGTCCGGGGTACAGTAAATAGTTACTAATAGATACTCTGCTAATCGGCTTAACTTTCTTATATTTGTTAAGCAATGATTTTCAATTACAATGGTGGGCGCTATGAAAAGCTCTGTCTCGAGAAATCCCTGCAAACATTCGGGGGCTTGCTGTAAATTGCTAAAATCTACTTCAATTGCACCTTCTCAGAAACATTACAGGCGACGCCTGCCTCACTGTTCTTAATACAGTTTGGTATTCCGCTTGTATCACCCGTAAGCCCTTAACGCTGTCTGGAACAGATGGAATTCGAATAATTTCAGTTATACAGACGGCGAAGAGCTTTAGTTACTGCCATCGCAACTGTGACGTGTATTAAATTCCATTGGACGGCTTCAATTTGCAAATCCCGCGTCCCACCCGAAAGTACTTGAAACAAGTCCTTTATACTATGCGAGTTATTAACACGAGACGTTTATACGTCTCGTGTTACTAACTCGTAATGTTATCATTCTGTTGGAGGTAATATATATCGAGGTTTTTGTATAGTCGGGGTGGATACATACTTTATCGCTTACCAGATTCTGATACAAAGACTTTGTTATTAAGTTGCTCAAGGAAAAATTCTTCGCGCCTATAATGGTTGGAAGTTTGTAATTTTTCCTATTTTCACTACGCCTGCGATATAAAGATTATGTAAACGTGTTGCTAAAGAATATAAGACTGCCTGATAACAAATAAATGTTTTCTTTTACTAATAAATAGGATCGTGTAACGAACTAAAAACTAAAAACGCATTATTTATTCAATTTGCACTATTACGCCCGGTTTCTGAGACTTTGAATTAATTATTCTGATCATTAAAGAGGTCGTTCTGATCAATTCAGAGAGTTTAACAATCCTTTTGTCAACTCAAATAACTTTTAAAAGTCATTTGACAGCCGATTAGTTGACTTCTATGCCGAATCAGTTTTTCAGAACAGTTAGTTTTAGAACAAACATTTAAGAATATGATCATCAAATTATTTTGGGTATACTTTAAATATCTGTATTTAACTTTCTCTATATTGTTTTCACGCCGTGAGGTCATCGGCCGCTTAGCTTAGCTGGTAAAGCGTCTGGTCGCGAAATCGGAAGACTCGCCTTATTGTACCTAGATTTTAAGACTTGTTTTATACTAATTGTATTAAATTATTTGGGGTGTACAATAAAGTATATAATAAATAAATAAGAAAAAGGATGCGCGCCCTTTGGGGCATGGACACAATGACGACCCGATTGGCGTGGAGAGTAGTGACCCTGCCTCCGCCAGGGGGTGTGGGTTCGATCCCCACTACTGGAAAAATATTGTGTGATGAACATGGCGTTTTTCCAGTGTCTGGGTGTTTATATATGTATAATATGTATTTATTTACGAAAGAAGAGTGTGTTTAAGTATTTTTATCAGTTTTCTAGTACCCATAGTACAATCATTGCTTAGTTTGGGACAACAGAACGTTGTGTAAAAAAATGTGTCCGAAATATTTATTTTTATTATTTTACGGTTATTTCGGGAGGTATCACTTTCGCGTGGCGATGAGGGATCACATCGTAACAGCGCCGAGGGCATTGAGTTACCGTGAGGCTGGACCTCTCGCTGCCTGCCGTGGCTCGTGCTATGGTAGACAGCGAGAGTTACTGTCCTAGCGTACTTTGTAGACATTGTGTTACATATTAATCTGTCCCCGCGTACTTTGTAGACTTCGTATCACATTTTATAACATCCTCGTAGCGGCAAAGAAAGTAAACACACTAGTGTGGTATACACAAAACACACTAGATGGCGCCGAGCATTGCTAAAATTGCAATAAATCAAATTCAATGAATACGTTGAAGTTTTTGTCGGTGTGAAGAAGGGAAGCCGTTAAGCTCACGGGCCAGAGCGACGGGCGCGTAACCTGAAGAATGAATGTCCATATCCTTACACAGGCGAAGAAAAACTTTCCACCCATTTTTCTACAAATTTTAAATTTCACCTTAAGTGTTAGTATGATTAAAAAAAAACAAATTTCAAATGGATTGCTTGGAATCGTGTTTGCGTATGCGTGTTTGTCGACTTTAACAGCTTTCCGCACGAATTCATCACAGAGAATGTTCACGTTTTTCGCATAACACGAACAAAATGGGGAGCATGGAACACGAACGTTGATCGATGGAAAACGACATGTTATTCAACTATTCAAACTTGTTTACAAAGCCGTCGCTCCGGATGAAACGAATGTTTCGTTTAGCACAGCCGTCTCGCAAAGTATTTTTTTAGTTCTCTGTAACGAACCAATTCATTTACAACGCGTCCATTATTCGTATCGAAAATGGAACGTTCCTCTAACAAAACAACAGTTGTTGTTGATGAATGACACACGATTGACAACAAATTCGACGTACGTTAAAATACGACTGTTTCAATGAATATCTTGTAGTTTAATGCTAATTTCTATTTATTGTATGCTAGATATTAAATTTATTTTTTGAACGATTTTAATATATTAAAGACTAGCTGTGACCGCGACTCCGTCCGCGTGGAATTTAAAATAAAAAAAAGTTCTAAAATAAAAGTAGCCTAAGTTATTCCTTATTACATCGATTTCAGAGATTAGCCGGAACAAACAGACAGACAGACAGACAGACAGACAGACACAAATTATAAAAAATGTTATTTTGGTATAGGTACCGTGTATACATCCATATGCATTTAGTAAAAAGCGGTTATTTAAATAATACAAACAGACACTCCAATTTTATTTATGTGTATAGATGAAACACAATATTAACGACGATATTCTAACTTAAAAAAACCAGAATCGCGGACGAATGCTGCGGAATACACTTTACTGGAAGGGCTAGAGCTCCTCCGGATCTGGATTCTTGTCATGATTAAGATACCACTCAAATGGTTTTTAGAAACCCGGATCCAATCCGGTAATTACCACGACCTCACAATTCTAAAATCTTTTATTCATCGACATAAGAAACATAAATTCATCATGTTTTTAATCTACCGCCGTTTCCTAATGAGGTTCCTCTAAAGTAGAAGTGTTACACTTCTGCGTTTCATCCGGTGAGTGAGGTAGCCGGGGCCCATTTTATTTAAAGGTGGCAACGCATTTGCAACCCTGCGGGTATTGCAATTATACGGCGGCGGTTATTACTTAATATCAGGTGAACCACCAGCTCGTTTACCACTTTTTCACATTAAAAAAAAAAACAGAAAATTAGCGTTATCGAACGCTGACGCGACCATTCGTAAATGTCCATAAAGCTATTCATTTATCCTCTTACAAGGTCTGTTGAGCCTTTGTCTTTGTCTTCGCTTCTGTTTGTGCTTTCACGAGGACTTCGCCATAAAGAATGCTCTCGCTCGATTCACAATACGATAACAGGGTTGTGCGCAAGAATGTTCTATCCATATTGAAGGTCAGTCACAATACAGCCCGAAACCGTCAATTTTGCGCACGGCCTACGAACCTTACTCATAGTACGGCATTAAGACAATGATATAAGATTATGGCTACTAGTTAACCTAGTCTATGCAGATACTCAGAGTTAGAAAACATAGAACAATTGTAGATAACACGCTGAAACTTCTCGGGACGGCGGCTACCTCGACAGATGTCGACGGTGCCATCCTTTAGGATGTATCTCCGATAGTCGTTCGTCTTAATACCTGATCCCGTATCCCATAGACGAAATCCTCACTAATTAAGGACTAAAGATCTAAGTAAATAAATATAACGTTCCACCCTAATGGTTACTGCAAATACGGATAAACAGACAATGTACTTCTTGCAAACTAAATAATCTTTGATTACTTCCACTTGAAAAAAAAAAAATAAGTTTATGTCTTCCGATACATTCCTTGTGCCACGATACGGGAATCCAATTTTATGTGTCCATTGCCAAATTTATAGCCCACCTGTAAATCCTCAACACACACAATGCGAGTATTTACGGTTCCAACGTTCCAAAGGTACGTAACAGCGTCAATGGGCAAAATTTCTTTTGTCCGCAATAGAACATTCCAAAACAATTTAAACTATTTTTATCGAACCCACCTATTGTACATTAACAGGTTAGAAAATCATTTCACATACATAAATGACAGGTCAAACAAATGACTTAGATGACAATTAAAGTAACAGCCTTACTATAGAGATCCCACTGTTGGGTAAAGAGCTCATTTGGACTTAAAATAAGAGAGCATTATAAGACACACGTGCCGTTGGGATTGTAAACTGTATATTTCTCCGATACCAACGAGTATCACTATTTTTTAATTAATTTCAAGTCAATAAATTATTAGCTTCGAAGCCATGGGTCATGTTTTCTATAGTACTGGTCAAGTATTTGCGTGAACAACAGATAATTGTTCGGAATTTTGTTGGATATTTTCCCAAAGAGTGATGACGTCAGGCAGACGACCAGTTGTAAGAAGCCATTGCCTCTAACAACATGGGTCACATGATGTGCTGTCCTCATCTAGGTCGAATAAAGGGAGGATGGTGATAATGAGGATATGTCGTAGACATGCTGGTCTACTTACCTTTGGCGTAGTGGGTAGTGTACCTGACTTCTGCGCCAGAGGGTGTGGGATCGATTCCCTCTACTGGAAAAATCTTGTGTGATGATCATAGTGTTTTTCTAGTATCTAGGTGTTTATATATGTATAATGTGTATTTATTTACAAAGGAAAGTATGTTTAGGTATGTCTATCAGTTGTCTACTACCCATAGTACAAGCGTTGCTTAGTTTGGGACTAGAGAACGTTGTGTAAAAAATATGTCCTAAAAAAATACTTACGACGGTTTTTTGGTTTGACGGTTTTGTGCTGTAAGGACTTTTTACAAACACAAATTTCACGTGGACAAACATCCAGATGCTGTGGCAGCTATGTGTGTAACCTCGAACCCACTAGCCACGATGCCGAAGCCAATACCTTGGCAATTGCTCCATGGAGTCATCATCATTTACTACTAAAAAATAAAATTGTTTTAGTTTTAACACAATTTTATTATCATTTTCTCCTGCGATATTAACCCCCTAAACTCTTTGAATTGATCATTCCGATCATTAAGAAGATCATTCTGATCAATTCAGAGAGTTTACCAATCCTTTTGGCAAATCAATTTTTTGTTGTTAACATTTGAAAATCCATTTGACAGCTGATTAGTTGACTTCTACGACTATCAGTGTTTCAGAAACCGGGCGTTAAACAAAAACAGTTTAGAATATCCAACGTCTAATATAGATTAGACGTTAGATATTCTAAATTATTCTTGAAGTAATTAAGAGTGAATAATGCAGTGGGGAGCTAATTGAATTTATAATAACATTATTATTAAACGCTTATTCTAATAGACAATTAATTAACTAATTAGTAAAGCTGTGTTTTATTGGAATTAAAATTGGATTAAAATTTTTGTGGAAGTAGTTTATAGTTTGCGACATGTTCGATTATAATGTTTTCTTCGTAAAAAAAAAACGAAGAAGATGCAACCTTCTAGAAATGCATTTTTAGCAAATCAGTTTTAAAAAAACAGTAAAGTAACGGCCTATAAATGTCAAAAATGAGTAAAGACCTCCTCTAGAGAGAGTATACGCTGAGCACGTGAAAAGCGCTTAAAATTAATAATGTCATTGGTGCCGGGATCGAACTCAGGTTGCTCAAGTAAACTAAATTTAAGGCGAGCGCCCGGACACCGAGCTATCACGGCTCAAACAGTGTACACAGTGTAAAAGAAGGTATTCGTTCACTCTTTATTTCTCGACTTTATCGTCTGTTGTATGGTAATCGTTTACCCGGTCCCCCGGCTTAAAGATACTTTGTGATATTTAAGCAACAGGGATAAATAAGTTTTAAATACTTCCAATATATGTAATACTTCCAAAATAATTTAATAGTTATACCGGGATACTTAAGATACTCAATTAGCTATGTTCTTTCTTTAAATTAATTAAATTTAACACAAGTAAAATGTTAAATATTTTTCAAGCATTCTTATGCATTGCATTTAGCCCTAAGAACAATTAATTCTGCACCAATGTCAGCTTTTCAATATCATTAAAAGTGGCAATTAGTCTTTACACAGGTGACAACCACCGCCCATTTCCATTATGTTAAGGTCCCGTGTCTGAATGTAATTTTATAGATTTCACAAAATAGTATATACATGTACAAAATTGTTAACACATGAAATGAAATCATATACATTGATTAAGAGCATACCTTCTTCCCTTTTGTCGCTTGATTCTGGAGATAGCGGACTAAATTACTATCCTGACAAAACAGGATGACAATTGTATTATTATTGTGAGGTAGAAATATATAACACTGTCACTTACTATTCACGGTCACTCCATGAGTTCCTTATCCTACTCTTAACCCACCTTTTTATATGGACGTCCTTTTTTGTGCTTGAGTCGCCGAACAACCCTCATTAAGTTCTAAGGATCAAACACTATCAGTCAAGTACGAGCTGACCTACAAATCTTTGGGTTTTTCGATAAAAGACAAACGGGCACATCGCTAAACCGCCCGGCCTATTAGTCCTACGATTACAAACATGCGTCTTACTATAAGTTTTTTTTTAAAGTGTTACTATCACTAAATTTATGTAGACTATCGTGTAAGGTTAATTCATTAGAATATCGTAATAATTCATATCTATATCTTAAAACATAATTAATATTTTATCGATTAGTGATTTGTGATACAAATTACCATCGATTCTGATTTATATTCTGGCAACACTGTTTCGAAATGTCATATATTGTGAAGTGATGATTTTGAGTTGATCATTATACCTGCAGAGTTCGAACTGAGAGGTTGTCTTATTTAATCCATTTGCATCCTCATAATCTACGTTTATTTTCTGGGATAAAGAACTATCTCCTTTATCTCAGAAGTGGGATAAATCAATTTCGCCCACGATTGGGAAGAAATTATAACGTAATCTTCGCTGACTAGAGAAATTGTAACCACGTGTTTTTCGCCGAGAATTTTGTTTGTGTAACGCAAACATCTACGAAATGGTTGCAACCAGTAGTTAAGAAGATGAAGGTAGAAACCGTGTTAGCGTGAAATTTTTTTCATGGAATACGCGACAAACTGGCGATACGAAAATGGCGATCATCCTCGAGTTCAGTGGAGTGTTGGAGAAGTGACCGGCGTTCTCGTGGGAAGCGCAAGCATCGTCGAAAGAGGAGCCGCAGTCGTGAGCACCAGCGTGAACGTGGTTCGAGCGGTAGCATCAAGAAGCGTAGCAGGCAGTGTGAGGAATCGAGGTCCGTGGCAAGCGGCGATCGTTATGCACCCCCACTTCACGTGAGTACGTCTAATATTTTTAACAGTGTCTTTAGTGGAAGCCATTTCTAGCAACCGTTCTCAGCCCAATAAATTTCCTATGCTAGGAAATCTGATATCTGAGTTCGATACCATGGTTAAAGGGCAAACCATCCACATGTGGATAAATAAAGTTGACGAGTGCGCTAGGCTATACGGTTGGGGTGATGATCAAATAATTATGCGTTGCCCAAATTGTCTGGCGTCGCGAAGACGTGGTACCAAGCTCTTCCAACCATGGCGTTCTCGTGGCATGAGTGGAAATTAAAACTAGAAGAATCATTTCCGAGTAGCGACGATTATGCAGAGTTGCTTACCGAGATGCTGTCCAAACGTGTTAGGTATAATGACTCTTTAGAGCATTATTATTATGAAAAAATTAATTTACTTAATCGTTGTGAAATATCGGGTAAACGGGCTGTCGATTGTTTGCTATATGGAGTAGATGATTTGCCAGGAACCTGAGCAAGTTTAAAGATATTTTCAGTCCATTAAACAGCAGGCTCGTGAACCAGACAAACCAAAAGCAAATTCTGAGAAATGTTACAGTTTCGGTATAGCATCTACCAATAGCTCAAGGCAGAATTCAAATAGTAATGAAATAAAGGGCTCGAAAACTCGAAATAATGGAGCTGTTGTGTGTTTTAACTGCAACGAACCTGGGCATTTTAGTTTCAAGTGTCCAAAACAGATATTGAAGTGCAACGTTTGTAGTAGATTAGGCCATTTAACTGTTAATTGTCCGAAATTGCCAGGCGTCTCGAGTAGTAATAAGATCTAGAATCCTAAAGATAAGAATATTATGCGCGTTGCAATTAATGATTCGAGTGATTCTAAATATTTATTGGGTATAAGACTCAATGGTGAGTTTATTCAGGGCTTTGTCGATTTAGGCAGTCAGTGCACTCTGATACGGTGTAGCGAAGCGATAAATAGAGACACCAGTTGGACTAATAATCATTTGCCTAACATGAGAAGTATTGGGAATAATATAGTCGTACCAATAGGTGTTACTCAGGTTACAATTGAAATACAAGACATTGAAGAAGAAGTTCGTGCGTATGTTGTCGATGATAACGCTATTAAATATCCGGTTTAGATTGGTTATAGTTTCACTGAAAAGCCAGGAATAGTTATTATGAAAACTACGGATTCATTCGTTTTTGGTTGGGAAAACCCTATTAAAGTAAAATTAAGGATTAATGATGACGTGAATATATCCCCAAAGGAAATGATTGCATTGCCGGTTACAATGGGAAACGGCTACTCAGGTTCGGTTAGTGTGAAAGGATCTTTACGTGCCGACCGGCAGAATTTGTTTTATTGAATGCCGGGCGAATATGAAGTAGAAAACGGCAGAGGTGTTGTGTTGGTACAAAACTTCGGAGAAAAATCGATTTCATTGCAACAAAATTCTCTTATTACACGCGCTATTACCATCAGAGATCTTATTAGTGTAAACGTCTTGAATTTTGACGATGCTGACACAGTTGCTGTTTTAAATTATGGCCAACAACTTAATAACAGTGATGTTAAAAGATTAAAGATTTTACTTAAGGAATAAGAATCTTGTTTTTCCGATAACTTAAAGGGAGCTGGGGTTAACTAACGTGGTTCAAATGAAAATAGAGCTGAATGATACACAACCCGTAGTCTATCGGCCGTATAGATTTTCGTTTCCGGAGCGCGCTCAGATTCGATCTATGGTTAAGGAGATGATAGAGTCGGACATAGTATGTGAGTCGAATTCATCGTACGCTAGCCCAGTGATATTAGTTAAGAAAAAGAAACTGTGAAAGTAGGTTATGCGTTTATTATAGAGGCCTAAATAATAAGACTAAGAAAGAGCACTATCCCTTGTCTTTAATTGACGACCAGCTCGATAGACTGGCAGGCAATACGGTATTTGTGATTTTTGACCTTGCTTCTGGCTATTATCAAATACCGCTTGAGATTGATTCACAAGATAAGACGGCTTTTGTTACACCTGATGGGCAATACCAATTTAAACGAATGCAAACGCACCGTCTGTTTTTCAGAGAGCAATGAATAAAATACTAGCTAAGGTAAACTATACTATTATTTACATGGATGATGTGTTGATTCCGGCAAAATCAGCAGATGAGGGATTAACGCGTTTAGGCGAAGTATTTCAACTATTGCGTGTGGCTGGGCTCACATTGAAACTAAAAAAAAGTGTAATTTCTTTTATACGGAGTTTGACTTTATAGGATATCATGTAAGTGGTAAGGGTATCCGTCTGGGTACACGTAAGACAGCAGCCATACGAGACTTTCCGACACCGCAGATCATTCATGATGTACGGCGATTTATCGGTTTGGCTAGTTTTCTTTTTTCGAAGGTTCGTAAAGGGCTTTGCCTTGATAGCTCGACCGCTAACAGACTTATTGCGCACGAAATTCGAGTGGAAATGGACCCAAGAGCGAATGGACAGGTCTAGCGATTTAATCGTACCATAATTGATGCTTTGGGTGCTAGCTGTCATGGCAAAAATGATAATTTATGGCACGAACATATTTGGGAATTATAGTTAGGAATTTATACCACCATAAACAAAACCACAGGGAAAAGCCCCTCTGAATTGTTGTTTGGTTCCAAATTAATGAATGCCTCTGAGAATATTTTAACTGATGTAATTACTGAAACATCTGAACGCCTTGGTGATGATGATTTAATGCGGTTAAGGTCGAAGGCTAGGGAAAAGATTCAAAAACAACAAGAATATAATAAAAGACAATTTGACAAGCACAGAAAACCTCGGACTAACTATAGCGAAGGTGATCTCATTAGAATCGAAAGAACCGTGGTTGATAAAGATCATGTAGGCAAATCAAAAAAACTTGTCTCCAAGTTTCAAGGCCCTTGTAGAATCATTGAAATTTTACCTAATGATAGATTCCTCGCGGAAGACACTCCTTTGACAAAAAGGGTAATAAGCGATACGAAAACATAGTAGCGTTGGATAAAATTCATCCTTGGACTAGTTTCAGCGGATACACTAGTGATAGCACCGAGGGGGAATTGGATATCTGTACTGATGTCGTAGAGGAGTGATTCACCTTCAGTGGAGGAACAACTCTTCTATTGCTTTATTGTATGTATAAGTCGATTTGATTTAATTTTGAGTGATTTCTGCAAATGGCTGGCTTACAGTCATTTCTGTGTGTCATTGTTGAAAAATTGTTAAATAATTTGATTTGAGCAATCAGTGCAGACAGAGAGTGGCAACAAAACCTTGTTGTAGCACACATGATTGCAGGATAGCGACTAATCTTTTTCTTATGATGCGAGCACAGTTACCTCCAGTCGTCAATGTAGAAAGCGAATGACATTGTTTAAAGATGTCGCATAGATGACTTTGGAGACTAACTGGGTAGGATTTACAGGGTGAATCGTAGCACAGATGATTGCAGGATAGAGACTAACCTATTCTTATGATGCGAGCACAGTTACCTCCAGTCGTCAATGCAGAAAGCGAATGACATGTTTTAAAGATGTCGCATAGATGACCTTGGAGGCTAACTGGGCAGGATTTACAGGATGAAGTGAATTGAAAATGATATGAGCACAGTCGCACCCTGAGGTCAGTGCAGAAAGCGAATGGCATCACGTTAGTGAGGTCGCACTGATGACCGAAGAGAGCGACTGGGCAGGATTAGAAATAAGACCAGTGATTGTGATAAAGAGAAGTAAGACAATTACAACACAAAGTAATGAGAATTGCAATTAAGACGTAACAATATTGCGATCAAGATTTAATTGTAAATTGATCAGAAAATAACGAACGAATATTAATTTCATTTATTGTCACTCATGTTTATACAGTTTAATGATATATATATTTTTTCTTATAAAAGAAATTAATTTTTTTTATAGTGCTAATATTTTCAAATTTATATAACCTTTTGTTACTGTGAATTGTGATATACTATACAAGTGAGAGGACTCACTTCTGTAAGGACGGCCGAACTGTAAGGTTAATTCATTAGAATATCGTAATAATTCATATCTATATCTTAAAACATAATTAATATTTTATCGATTAGTGATTTATGATACAAATTACCATCGATTCTGATTTATATTCTGGCAACACTGTTTCGAAATGTCATATATTGTGAAGTGATGATTTTGAGTTGATCATTATACCTGCACAGCTCGAACTGAGAGGTTGTCTTATTTAATCCATTTGCATCCTCATAATCTACGTTTATTTTCTGGGATAAAGAACTATCTCCTTTAATCGTGATGTGGACATAATTATCGTTTTAATCGCTTTTATATATTAGGAATATTACGACTCTCCCACTTTAGTGGAATACCGTTAAGTCAATGCAATTAAGTAATTACATTCCTATACGTGCCAAGGCTTACGCTGTTCGGGTTAATTATACATTTGCCATTAAACTGCAGCACAAATATTCAGACATATTTTGAACACTTCACTCTAAGAAGGCGAGCAGTAACGAGTGTATATTTGCGTTAGTGACAACACGCGTCTATATCGACCGTCGTCCACCTACCAAAGTGAAAATTCGAATGTTTGAAACTTGGAAATGTGAAGGAAACTAATCTCTTTCACCTAATACGGCGCTAGCTGTTCACTTCATTCTCTATTTTTCCTTTTGTCAAAGCTACCATACTTTGATTACCGTATAAGACTAAATTCTTCAGTAACGATTATAGTACAGTAGAGCTGATCTGCCAAAATATAACACAATAGAGATATTAACAGGAAAATGCAACCGTCTTTGGGTAGGTTCGGCCTTAAGCATTGCGACTTGCCTACAATGATCTCGAATGTCGCCTTTATGCTTAGGCTGTTAGCGCTCAACGTTGACTCAAGATGTAAAAAACGTAAGTTGTCACATATCGAAGTCATAGACTAAACAATCATATTGGATTGTGTCCATTTTAAACTAACATTAGCGTCAAAATGTACCACCAATTCACAAATTTGGATGACACGATTTCTCAATCATGGTATCTCGCAGACACTTCATGCGATACCTGTCGACATAGGCGTATATAGCGGGGGGGGGGGGTGGTCCGTGCCCACCCCAGTATGGTCTAGTGCCCACCCCAGGATTTTGGATTACCAATTCGAAATTATAGGCTAAACACCTATCCTTCATCGCCAAAAGCAGATTGAAGCCGAGCGAGGCGAGCGAGGTACAATGTAGATATTGAATTTCTCGAATTTTCTCTACTATAATATGCATATATGCTACTTGTAAACCTTCCACTTGAATAATATCTATTCCTGAAAAGCGCGATTTTTTTTTTGTAGTAAGGGCCCAGGCCCACCCTGAAAAATAGCCCTAGATACGCCAATGCCTGTCGACTGTGCAGATAACATTTGAGCGACAAATGTTATCCACGCCCACTGTTTTCTTCTTCTACTCTTATTATATACTAACTGCAACTAAGTGGGGGTCAAGCAACTCTTCCCAAGTTGTAGTTTTGCGATCCGTCAACAGATCAGAAGGTCGTTAAAAATCAATTCCACCCAGTGCCTTAAACGGTACCAAGTGGTATTTACGGTACATCTGAGTTTACAAATCTCTATATAAAGACAAAAGACAAAAATTTCTTACCTTAAGCTCTTAGTGAACGTCAAAAAAACTATCACCGGTTCACTAAACTAGACCTGAACAGAGAGGAAAGAAACGTACAGAAATAAACTCTGCGGTCTTATATAAAAAACACTTAGCTGTTTTGTTACTTTAAAACACCAGTATTTTTTTTTCAAATTTGCATTTTCGATATCAAAGCTAAAATGTACGTAAGGTATTATATATACCTTGTAAAATAAATAATCTGAAAAGTCGATTTTATATAGGCTACCTCTGCCTACCTGTCAGAATATGATGAGCGCTTTAGGGCCCTTTTATTTCAAGGCCCTTTTCATCATCATCATCATCATTATCATTATCATTATCATCATCATCATTATCATTATCATCATCATCATCATCATCATCATATCAGCCGTAGGACGTCCACTGCTGAACATAGGCCTCCCCCATTGACTTCCACTTCGACTGGTCGTTAGCGGCCTGCATCCAACGCGTCCCTGCGATCTTGGGTAGGTCGTCCGTCCACCTTGTGGGAGGCCTTTTCATAAAGAAACAAAATTCACATCGTTACAGCGATTACAAAGATAGCGTGTCTGATCTCAATATTGCTGGCGGCTTGCTACATTTATGTATACATCATATCTATGGTGTGGTTCGTGATGGTGGAGTGTCGGCGCTCTGGAAACCTACTCTACGCCCTTATAGTGTTTTCACTTGGTATTGCCAGCGAGATTGCGCCATGCAAGTTTCTGTATTTGCTTCTGCGTCAGTGAGTTCAAATCAATCTAATGTACTAAGTAAATTAACAGCCTATACATGTCCCACTGCTGGGCAAAGGCCTCCTCTATACAGAGGGTATCAGGGCATAGTCCACCACGCGGCCCCACTGCGGATTGGCGGACTTCACATATCTTCGAAATATTTTTTTTTGTTATTATTTCGAAAATACGCAGGTTTCCTCACGATGTTTTTTTTCCTTCACCGCGGAGCACGATATAAGACAGCACTTACAGTTAAAAACTTCCTTGGTGGCGACACCGGGGATCGAACTCAGGTTGCTCGAGTATATTGAATTAAAGGCGAGCGCCCGGACACTGAGCTATCACGGCTCTATCTAATGTAGACTAACTATAATTTTAAGAAGAGAAAAGCAGATGGCAAGAAGTTCACCTCTATTTATTATTCCCATGTTTTATTAATGCGCTTTCGTATTCCAAAAATTTCATAGCTACGTGTATCTTCCTGATGAGCTAAAAGCTTATAAATATACATATGTAAATACTGAATGACGAAGAAAGGTAATCCAGAATCTGTCTCTACTTGTTCTTTCATTATAAACACAATTCAGTGAGAGATCTTGTGAATTACGGTGCCCGTGAACATCGGTAACGCAAGAGGGTTTGCAGATGCTTTGTCAATCTTAAGCAGGGTTTTCGGCATGTAAGAAAAGTATAAATACGAGTACATGAAGTGTTGATGATTCTGTGAGGGCCCCGATTGATAAAGCATACTCATACTGCAGGATAAGTATTCGATTATACTAATATACAGTGAATATGGTTATTTTAGTTTGATATTATATATATATGTATATATATATATATATATATATATATATATATATATAACATATACAAGGACAATTTCAACTGCTAATAGGATAAAATAGCAGTGGAGATACTTTATTCTCGGGATATTATTATACTTTTAATTGAATATATTGAATATTGATTATAAAACCATTTTCCTTCTTTTATTTATTTCCTTAGTAATTATTCTTGTATAACTAGTTAAGAATTTAAATATCGTGAAATAAAGTGTAATTTTTGACATATTAGTGTAAATTTTGAACTATTTAATTCGATAATTGCAGACGTACCGTAAGGAGCATCATAGAAGAATTCCGTACCTGCGACGACCTGCCAGCGCTTAGTTCTAGATACACTATAAACCTAACTAACAACCTCAGAAGAGTAAAAAAGAGGGCGTTGACCTTTTGGTTCGTCATTTATAGCAACTGCATTCTGTATATACTCAAGCCGCACGTGATACCGGGTCGGCACGTCATGGAAGATTTCTTTATACTCTATGGTAAAGTATAAATAAAAGTTTATATGGTAATATTCATCATGAGGTAAAATACAAAGTTTTAAATCTGTTGTGGACCTAATATTAAAATTTGTATAAAAGCTGTATATGCAATAAGACGCATCGTACGACCTATTTTGTAAAGGCAGGCTACCGAGACTAATGTATTAATTAGTGGCACATGTAATTTGTATTACATTCAACAACCTCTTGTCCGCAGTCTTATTATTGTTTTGTTTACACACATTTTTCTAAACAAAATCTAAAATCGAATACTTGTTTTTGTAATACTACGTGAAAGGTCGGAAAGAAAAAGTTGGTTAACCTAATATTAATTAATACCGCCACACCTAAGGAGTCACATGTTGGTAACTTTTATAAAAATGGGCATCGCTTATCCAACTACCCAAAGAACCCGAAAATGTAATACTTTATGTTAGCGTCCTAGGAGATCGAGGTACTTACCTTACGAGCCTGCCCATTCATTAAACAGCAGAAGCTGTGTAGCTCAGCCACAAATAAAATAATACGCTGTATATTTAACATTGTCCTTGATTTCACAGGCTTGGAGCCGATGTTCGAAACGCCCAACTACGAAATCGCTTTGTTCACACTATCCGCTAGCTCGGTCTTCATCGGGCACCTCACGTCTAACATAACGGCCTTCCACATCGCAATAACGGGCTACGTGGAAGCGCAGATGCTGGCTTTGAGCGAGGAACTAGTCCACTTGTGGGACGACGTCGTAAACGAGCATCAAGATGCGTTGAATACAGATAAAAAGATTCTCAACGATTCGGTGAAGAAACGTCTGAAGGATATAATAGAGCGGCACGCGGTTAGCTTGAATCTGCACAGACGTGTCGACAGTCTCTTTAGGGTCGCGATCGCGATTGAGTTCTTGTTGCTGGTGCTGGCGTTGACGGCGGAGCTGTTAGGTGGCTTGAAGAACACTTACATGGAGGTGCCTTTCGCGATGTTGCTAGTAGCGACGGACTGCTGGACGGGCCAGAGGGTCGTGGACGCCAGCGACACCTTCGAGGCGTCAGTATACGACTCAAAGTGGGAGAACTTCAACAAGGAGAACATGAGGACGGTATTCCTGATGGAACTAATGGTGCAACGCACCCTAACGATGTCAGCTGGTGGCGTCGCCATGTTGGACCGGGCCTGCTTCATGTCTATCAACAAGTACATCTACTCGACTTATACCACGTTGGAGTCGGTTATGAAATAATCTGCCGCTTATAACCGTAGATAGAACTTGGACAATAAAAGGTTTAAATTTAGATAGATCCTAGAGGACACCATAAATTGTTTAAAGTTTCTCGATACACTGAATCTAAAAATAAAACTAATGGGTATTATTAATATTGTAAAGGATCTTTAATAGCAATGCAAGGTGTGTGTAGGAAGCTTAATCTTCTTTCTTCTGTTTTATTAAATTGTTCAATTAAAAATTCCAATTAAAAAGTGAGCGCTTATCGACTATCGATTATTTCACACACTTTATTATTAGAAAGTATATCGATATCGATGTTATCGATCGAAATGTTTTGAAGGCCACGCAGCAGCCTCGGCTGCTGTATCTGTTGCAGGAACGAGCAGGCTCGTCCGGGTAAGTACCATGACCTCAAAACAGACCGTCGTAAAGTGGAAGTATTTGCGTTTTCTTACTTTCGCGTTTCGTCTGGTGAGTGAGGTGGCTGGAGCCAAATTTTAACAAGGTTGTCACGCATCTGCAACCCTCGGGTGTAGCAGATGTCCATAGGATGAGGTATTCACTTAACATCGGGTGAACCGTCTGCTCGTTTGGCAACTTTTCATATAAAACAAAAAATATTTTTAGGTTTCCGTTTACAGAACCGTTAAATGTTAAAAAAATAAACTTCATTTTCCTTTACGAGTTACGAGATAAGAGGTCAGGCTTAGGCAGTAAAGCAGTTACCATTCCAAACATTGAAAAACATATGTGGGGACTTCCTTACATACCACTCACTCATATCATATTACACACATTTACACATACACACATATATTTATTATAATTCTTACACAACAACTTAAACAAATATTATTCATACAAACATACAACACGGCACACTTAAATTTATTATATATATTATTTCACACCGCGGCGCGCTTAGGCTATTGTAAACAAAGAACCGGTCTGTGCGACGTCATTCGGTGGCTCGGCCGTCGATCGGCTGCGACCGCGCATCTCACGTCTAACGAGTCAGTTACCTGCTATCCGCTTATGCGACGCGAAGTCTGTAACGCTCCAACGCTCTCCGGCTATTTCGTAAACCATCTGTGTTAATATTTGTAAGAACATTGCTGTTTGTGCTTTTCCTTCTGCTCTGGACTATCTTGCTTCCTTCTTTCTTTGTATTGTGGACAATAAAGTGTGTAAGTGACGTATATACTATTTCTTCCTTTCTCTTCGCTTTCATACTGCGGAATAAGCTACCACAACCCACAACTGGTGACCCCTTCAGGACACAAATTAAAGTACGATGAGCAGTAATAGTGATTCGGTGGAAACTGCGCCCGAACAGAACGTTACCACGCGTCCATGTTCAAAGCGCAAACAAAGAACGCACGTGGAAATTGCGTCAGACGTGAACCGAATGACTGTGCGAATACCGCCATTTTGGCCGGACGACCCGGAGTTATGGTTTGCACAAATTGAGGGACAATTCGCTATTTCACATATAACAGCAGATGACACGAAATTTTACTACGTGACGAGCAATTTAGAGGCACAATACTCCAAGGAGGTTAAGGATATAATCATATCCCCTCCACCGCGGAACAAGTATGAAAAACTTAAAGATGAGCTGATAAAGCGGCTTTCGGCATCACGTGAACGAAAAATCCAGCAGTTATTAATGCATGAAGAGTTGGGAAACCGAAAACCATCCCAATTCTTACGTCACCTGCAGAGCTTGGCCGGACCATCAGTACCTGAAGACTTTATTCAGAGCATCTGGAGCAGTCGACTTCCAAGTAGTATACAAACGCTGATAGTTTCCCAACCATCCAGTTCATTGGAAGCTTTAGCAGACCTGGCAGATCGAGTCAGTGACATAGTATCACCAACTCTCCAAGTTGCAGCAGCTACGTGTTCTGCACCAACACCTGGTTCCAGCATGCAGTCAATGGCGAACGAAATTGCTGAGTTAAAAGCGGCCGTTAAGAATCTCACCATGCAGCTTAACAGACAGTCAAGAACACGTGACCGTTCTTGTAACCGCAATCGCAGACGTTCAACATCGCGATCGAACTCCAGCTACAGAAGGTATCCAGTATGCTGGTACCACTCAAAATTTGGATCCAAGGCGAACCGGTGTATCAAGCCATGCGACTACGGCAAGGCGGGAAACGCTCAGAGCGGTCGGTAATGGCGACCGACGACCGCTCAACCTCATCGGGTCGCCTCTTCGTCACCGACCACAACACGCAGAAACAATTTCTAGTAGATACTGGTAGTGATGTATGTGTTTTTCCGAGATGTGAATTGCGTGAACTCCGTTCTAAAACTCCATATCAATTGACAGCAGCAAATGGTAGTATAATTAATACATACGGGTATTTACAACTTAATTTAAATTTAAATTTACGCCGTAATTTTATATGGAATTTTATTGTTGCTGATGTAAACAAAGCTATAATAGGCGTAGACTTCCTTAGCCATTATAATCTTATTATTGATGTAAAAAATAAACGCCTAATTGATAATTTAACTTCTATGTCAACTATTGCTTTTAAAGATAAACAATGTAAAAATGTATTTTCTGTTAAAGTACCTATTGGCGACACACAGTACCATTCTATTCTTTCTAAATACCCGGAAATCACTCGACCTGCTGGCACACCACGCACACCTGCACACAACACCGTACACTACATCAACACTACACCTGGACCCCCAGTATCATGTTCCCCTCGCAGGTTGGCTCCTGACAGACTGGTGATAGCAAAGCGAGAATTTGATCTGATGCTGGAAATTGGGACGGCGCGTCCTTCTGACAGCCCCTGGGCCTCTCCTTTGCACTTAGTCCCGAAAAAGGACAACGGTTGGAGACCTTGCGGAGACTACAGGCAGCTCAACGCGCGCACCATCCCAGATAAGTATCCGATCAAACACATCCATGATTTTGCACATAGCATATCTGGATGTACTGTCTTCTCCACGATTGACCTGGTTAAGGCCTATAACCAGATCCCCGTTCACAAGGACGACATTCAGAAAACGGCGATCACCACACCGTTTGGTTTGTATGAGTTCCCGTTCATGACCTTCGGGCTCCGGAACTCGGGCCAAACTTTCCAGAGATTCGTGGACGAGATGACCAGAGGACTGGACTTCTGTTACTGTTATCTGGACGACTTTTTTAGTTTTTTCTAGAAGCAGGAAGGAGCACGAACAACACCTCGATGTACTGTTCGAGCGTATGAAGCAGTATGGTGTCCTCATCAACACATCTAAATGCGTATTTGGCGCATCTGAGGTACAGTTCCTAGGATACTACATTTCTCCTGCAGGTACTAAGCCACTTCAGTCAAAAGTGCAAGCCATTAAAGACTTTCCTAAGCCTCAAACAGTAAAGGCACTTAGGCGATTTTTGGGAATGCTTAATTTCTATAGGAGGTTCATACCCAACGCCGCAAAAATCCAAGCACCTTTAAATGCCCTATTAACTGGTTCGGTGAAAGCTTCTCACCCAGTTGACCTTACGGGTGAAGCTCTTCTAGCTTTTGAAAGATCCAAAGACAGTCTTTGTAATGCCGCCTTATTAGCACATCCCGATTGTCGAGCCAAATTAGCGCTAGTGACAGATGCGTCGGACTTGGCATTGGGTGCTGTGCTGCAGCAGTACAAGGACGATGTCTGGCAGCCATTAGCTTTCTTCTCGCGGAAGCTGAGCCCTTCCCAACAGAAGTACTCGCCTTACGATCGCGAGTTACTCGCTGTTTACGAAGGGATCAAATATTTCCGCCACATGCTCGAAGCTCGACACTTCACTGTTTATACTGACCACAAGCCGTTGTGTTATGCCTTTCACTCTAGGAAGAATAACTGTTCGCCTCGTCAGTATAGACACCTGGATTTTGTGTCTCAATTTACGAGCGATATTCGTCACATATCTGGCAAGGACAACGTTGTTGCTGACACTCTGTCACGCGTAGAGGAAATACAGAGTCCAGTCGACGTGGTAGTTCTTGCTAAAGCTCAGTCGCAAGATTCTGAGCTAACGCAACTTTTGAGCGAGGAATCATCACTTCGCATTACTAAAATTAAAGATCCTTTCCTTTCTCTTCGCTTTCATACTGCTGAATAAGCTACCACAACCCACACATATATCATAAAAACATATATCATATATGAAAAACTATAATTTAGATCTGTATTAAGGGAGTGTTTATGAATGTTTGAGGTTTTATTCTGAATTATAAACACAGTTTATAAGAATTATTATATTTACATAATTTGCGACATCTGTCGAGAAGTATTAACATTATTTGAATGGTAATGTTCCTCTTTCTAATTTTTAAAGTGACGTGACAAAGTATTGTTTGTCATGTCACATTCAGAATATTTTCTGAATGTTTAGTAACGAATTAATTTGGTGAACATTACACCACTCCTATAGTGGGTTTTTGGATGATTTTAAACAAATGGTTTCAAACGCACGTACTATTTATACATCGCACTGAATTCATATCTCTAAGATGAGTACATGAAAATATTTTTCATTCATCCGTTTAGTATACCACAATATATTTGTGTGACCCACAGATAATGTTCCGATCAGGGTGTTTGTTCCCTAGGAGGGTTAACATCAGACAGGAGGCCGGCCGTAAAAAACAGCCAAAACCGCTTACAACATGATTCACGTGTTTTGCCAACACCTTCAGGTGAGATAACCGCAGGAGGGTGATCAGTTATCTCTCTGTGAACTCTATGGCCTTCTGGTCTTTAGATAACAACATCACGGAGCCATCGTGCCATAAAAAATGTTTTTATTTACTCTCACGTATGTTTACTGAATGACCGAGCCACTGTACCGAACAATTTGATAGATTATGCATTAATAAAAGTTTTTCATTATATATAACTTGTATTTACGGTATTATAAACATTTATATAAGAGTTAAATAATTATATTAAAACAATATTCTTTTCAGTTTACCCAGTTATGACATCAACACGTTGAGTATGCTGCAACT